GTGTGTGTGTGTGTGTGTGTGTGTGTGTGTGTGTGTCTCGCTCTGGTCGAATTAAAATAAATGAATAAATAAAATTAAATAAATCATTATTCTTTTTAAAAAAGGAATATGTGGGTTTCAAGGTGTGATTAAGCAAGCACTTGGGCATTCAGAAGAATGAGACCCTTATAGGCATGACCTCTCTCCTTTTACTCATAATCATCTTCTAGTTAGGTGTCCAAGAGACCATGCTACTGAAAAGTCCAAGTTCATGTGTACTGGCAGGGACCTTGTCCTGTTGCTAAAATTATGGTGGTGATCTCCATTTTAACTCGCCTAATTAGCATCATGACTATTACCATCAACTTCAATGGCCATCCATAAAGTGATACTAATTCAGAACACCCCCTTTCTTCCTTCTCTGGAGATAATTTATAAGAAGGAACTTACAGAAAGAAGACTGAAATCGTTTTCAGCTAAAACATAAGATAGATATTGCTAGGTGGATTTTGCAATTTAATTCACAATTTGAATTTTAGTAAGAAATTGAAATATTTTTGTGAAAAGAAATGTTACTAAAAACAAAAAATGAGATTGTTTTTTTCTTTTTTTTTTGGAGAGGTTTTTGCTATAAGGCGCATGCACTCGCCAAATAGACAGAGAGACCCAGAGTGACAGAAAGTGAGAAATCACCCCCCAGGGGGGATGGCCACACTGCAATCCCTTCTCCATTCTCCTTTTGGGATCTTGGGCATGCACGCACACATGCCCAGCGTGAGTTTTAAGCCACCGGGTCTGGGACACAAACCGCGGTCGACTACGTGGGAGTCCAGCGACATGGCCACTACGCTAACTGCTAGTCTTGAGATTCTTTTTTTCAAATGAAAACTCAGCTTCTATTAACCTTAAGTTATACAATATATCTCTTCAGGGTTTGGGTCTTTTTATAAAGCCTTTTTGAAAAGAGTCTTGGCATCATTTTAAAAAAGGTTTTTCCTAATTCTAAATTATAAAAAATATACTCTTATAATTTGTTTATTCCTTGCTTTTATGGATTTTTAATCTTTACTTCATATGATCTTTATTTGTCTGTATGATATAAAGAGGATATTATCTTCATTTTTTCCCCCCAAAGATAAGCCAGTTGTCCTGAAAATATTCATCACGTCATCCCACACTTTCTCCATGGATTAAAATTCCCTCTTTACTATACCTGGCTGACCCGAACTGTAAACAGGTCTGTCTGTCTGAATGAAAAGAAATCCATTGTCATAACGTAGTGGAATCTTTGTTGCTTTTGAAAAGTGGACAGATACAACTTCTAAATATACATGTGAAACCACATTTGGCCCTCCAGATAAATCTTTTGGATATTTTAGTTGTATCTATTAAAAAAAAAAAAAGAGTTAGCAGAGTAATAGTACATCAAATTTGGAAATAAT